CAGAACAATGGTTTGAAAATAATATTCAATAGAAATCGAAAATTTACTTAAATGGTTTTTCTGTAACTTCAGGGTATGCGATCATGTTTATGATTGTGGTAGAGAGGATAGATTAGCTTCTCGAACATGTCCGAATGGATATTTTAAATGTTCAGCTCATCGCTGTATAAATAATACAGGTCGTTGTAACGGTAATGCTTAATGTCGAGATGGTTCTGATGAAGCAGACTGTCAACGACGTTATCCTAATGGTCAACATTGTCCAATAGATCATTTTACTTGTAATAATGCTCTTTGTCTTAATAAGAACTGGGTTTGTGATGGAAGTAAGAAGCTTTATTCGTGTTTTTTTTCTTATTGAATTATAATAAAATACTTTCATTTTAGATAATGATTATCTTGATAAGAGATAGTCAATGAAAGCAAAAAAGAATTTTAACATATTTTATGATTTCCATTTTTTTAATTTAGTGATGCAACTCTTGAATTATGCCAAATAGTACCTTGTAATTCAACCAATCGTTTTCGGTATTAGATTGGTTGTCTTTTTATTTTTGTGGAACACAATCTAAAACGAGTTCTGAGGTATTTAGTGAAAGTTTGGACTCACCTTTCACAGACCGTATATCAATTCTCATTATAGGTGTCCTGTCCAATTGATTTATTTCAACTTAATTTTTTCAGGTTCGGCCCATTCATAAAATTAGGTCGTTGTTTGCCAACGAAGATTTAAGTCTCGATTCGGATGAAAAGAATGTCTACTGTCACTTCCGTATCCGTTATTCAGCGTAGATTTTGTTTACATGTTTAACAATGTATTGAAAACTCAAATAGTTCAGCATCTTCCAGTTTTGTTCAGTATAACGAAGTGTGACAAACGAATGATAATAAGAATAGCAAATATAACGATTCATGAAGGATAATGAAGAAATATGTCCCAAAATAGACACAATAAAACAATTTGTCTAGGGTTATACAAAGCAGCTACATTGTGTTTTACATTTTAATCTTACAGAAGGGTGTGGGTGTGGGTGGGTGTGGGATGTGGGTAAAAAAGCGGACAAACCCTCACAGCCATGCCTCATCCACACCCACACCCACACCCTATATTTACTGTTCACATAAGACTTACGCTTTTATATAATTTACAAAATACAAAATAAATCATTATTTACAATTTCATCAGTTCAAAAATAAACATATATCATATTATTCCACAAAAACAAATAAAAAAGTAACAAAAAAGAATACAAAGTTGTGTTTTGTATTTATATCTCATCAAATAAAATACGTTGGATTAATTGAATATCCTTGATCCAAAGAGTTTCAATACGTTACTCTCAATGTTTATCTAATTCAATAGACATGATGCACGAATATGTTTATTAATAGTAAGCGATTGCGATAGTTTACTATCATTATTAGAATATATTAAAGTATCATAAACGTGTAATATCAATAATAGACAAAATATTATATTTAACAAAATCGAATGTTGTTAAATAATATTGATTATAAATACGTACATTTGTATCGGCTTGTTCAAGTAAAAAACGAATAATCTCCATATAAAAGTGTACAACAGTTAATATAAATGCTGTTATGCTATAATAATTTTGTTCATCGACATTGTCACTTTGAAAATCGATAAAATAAATCGTAAATATTGTTTTTATTTATTTATCATATTGAAGGAATAATTGAATAATAAAGCATAATGAAATGAAGTTTTCCATCCAAATAAATATTGTTTATTACAATTTGCATGAAAACAATTAATTACTATATCAATGATTTCATAGGAAGTAATTTGATAAACAGTAGTTGGAGTAAGAAATATACTCTGTCAGTAGATTGTTTGAGTTTCTTCGTAGTTGTATTTTCGAATTAGTGAAGGTAGGAAGAAACTCGAACTACTGGATGACAGGACGTAATGAGCCATAATTATTTTTTAAAAGGTACGAATCTATATATATTGCTTTTTTATCGTGCAACTAATTGCACTTTCATGACTTTTAGCTTCTTCCTACCTGTCAAAAATTCGGAAGTACAAATAGTATAAATACGAACACTTGAGTCTTTGAATATCACACACATTTCTAACCGATTATTACTATCAGGCTTTTACTTTGCTTTTTTGTCAAAAGCAAGTTGATAGGTGACTTACTGGACTAAGCTGAATCAATTCTCTTCTTATCCAGAAATGGCTCACATCTACCAAGCAACAATCTTTCTTCTCGTAGCTGTATTTATCTCCACGATTGTCGGACAAGCGTGTTACTGGACGAACTGTGTACCCTTTAACCAAGCTCATTGTCCACCGGACTATGACGAACAGAAAAACGAACGATGTCCAATTTCGGGTTTTCTGTTCAACAATCGACACAACTATTGTTGTGACCGTAAGCGCTGCGGTTTCAACAACAGTCCCTGCGTCCCCGTCGGTTGTACAGGAGGATGTCAACGTTGTGCTGTCGGACAACAACTCTACAATGAAGTCGGTCGACAAAGCTGTTCACTAAGTATTGGTGGCTTTGTTATAGCTGGAGAAAAAGCCTATTGCTGCAATCCATAGAAACATTTTAGTTTCCAATTTTGACAAACAGACAATCTTTTTTTTATTTATTCTTTTTTTTTTGACTTTTTTTATCTTGCTCTTCACTTTAATCTTGCTTCATGCTATTCATTTTATCTCGTCTTGCTCTGTTTTTTCATAAAGGTATATTTTTATTCCCTCATGATATCTTTGATTAAGACACAAAATCCAACTCCAAAATGGATACTTTATTGTCCTTCTCATTGGAGATGTTGAATTTAAAATTATTTCACGATTTTTCCACTATATCTCGTATTATAACACATAAAGTTCATCTATGGTAATGACGATAGGAGGAAAAGTCTACAAGTACTAGCAGATCTATATTTCAACAAAAAGAAAAGATTACAGATTAAATATTAAACGATAGTATCAAGTACACGAAGAAGTGAGTTTGAAACTCGTCAGAATCTAATGGGATTATAAATAACAAGTCCATTCAAGATAAATCGTTCTATATTTGAATTAAGATAACATACTTTATAAGATTTATATGATTATGATGGTCAACATATAAGTGTTATACTGGACATCAGTTTAAATTAGCAGTGAAACTTTCTATCTGAATATTAGAAAGTCTTGATGTTATCAATGATCAAATGAATGAACCTGAGATTTTTATGGATGAAATGGAGAAGAAAGAAAAAAACAGAAGATGTCAGTAGATCATTATCAGAGCTACTACCAGGCTACTTTTCCCCTATCTGCTCTGATCCTACTCGTGTTCCCTGGACGCCATACTATAATTTTGCCAGTAAGAATACTAGTTTATACAATTGTTGAGGTGCAGCTGCATATTTGGTAAATAGAAGTTTCCTCTGTCACACATACAATGGCGCATCACAAGTAGACAAAACAACCCTCCGAAGATGTACAATTATGAGCAAAATAAGTCATGGTGACAGTCTTCATCACGAAAAGTCTGAACACGTACACGATTCGTTCTTTTTGAATTTTTCTGCTCAATGTAAAAATTTCAATACGACGCGATTCGATTTAATCGAGAGTATTATATTGTTCTAGTAGATTATATTGTAGTATAGAATAATTTAGCAGTAACTCCTATGTGTATTGCTTGTTTCATAATGAATGTCATTGTTGTAATACTGGATGTGATGAACATGCTCTTCAAAAATGTTTGACTACCAATTACTATCCTTGTAACAATTCTTTTTTTTTTTTTGTCTAGTACTTTCGAAACATTAATTGGTTTAAGTCAGCATACCGAAGAATTCAAAGAAATTCTCAAAATTCATAAAGACACAATTTTTCCATCAAGTCTCGTGTAAATTAATAGTTCTTTTCAGTTCATTAAAAATATCGATGACCTCTTTTATGCTATCAATATTACACAATCTATAAGAATTAGTATGTTTATGGGAATAAAGCGATTCACAAATATCAACATTAAGTAAAAAAATCATTGCATGATTTTCAATCCTTTATTAATTTGAATTTTACGAGTAGTTAATCATTGGATTTAGGAAACATAATGTTGCTATCAAATATTTCTATCAAAATATTGTAACTTATATATACAAATGTAAACAAATTAATATTCTATTGGATTAAGTTTGTAATAATATGAACTATTCTGAATATTACTTCTTAGTTCGATTTTAAAAGAAATGATTATCATAATAAGAATTAAAAGAGCTTGTAAAAATGGATTGTATCGTTTTATTTTTATGTCAAAGAAAACAATTCTATAAAATATCTTTTTGTATTAGCCATTCCATAAAATTAAATGCAAATCATAGATATGAATGATATGATCGAGATAATAATCGTTGTTCTGATAGGTCTATAATAATAATGATAATATAGTAAAAAAATCTTATTATTCTACTAACCCGAACATCGATCAACTTGCTAAAAATTGTGAATAAAAATGAAATATAGTATTAGAAAATAAGACGTTTCACAATTACCTGTTGATTTCACAGAACAAGCTCGATTGTCAATTAATTCAAACATTTCCACACGGTTATTTTCCATATCCATGACATAAAGATTTCCTTTCATATCAAATGCTAAATCAACTGGTTTATGTAATTGATTTGTTGCATTACCGGCACCTTTCATTAAAACAAAGTAGCACGAGGTAAATGTCAACATTAATCAATTGTTATTGGGAATATAATTAATGTAAAAAATAAAATAAAAAACATACCTCCATCACTAGCTATTGTATCACCTTCGGATTCAAATGGTTTCCATCGTTGCACTCGATGATTCGATGTATCAATAACATAAACAATATTAGTTTCATCATCAACAATAACATCATTGGGATAATCTAAAGTTTCAGGATCATGTCCTTCAGTTCCTTGACTTGATCCAGCTACTGTAGTTCCTTTATGCGAATCTTTTGTCCAATTTTGAATTCGACTATTCTACATATCAGCTACATAAATAACACTTCCATCTCTAGTAACATAAATTTCTTGAGGATGATTAAGTAGATCACTTGTTGATCTATTAGTATCTGTCTTTCCAGCGACAACAGTTGTCGTACTTGTTCGAGGTGACCATTGAACAAAACGATGTCTATCTGATTGTGACATATAAACATTTTTCTCTTTGTCAACTGATACACCAGAACATAATTGACATTCACAACTGACTTGAATACCTTGTGTTGCTCCATTATTCCATTTTTCAACACGATTCAAAAATCGCAGTGAAACATAAACAGTTGGTCCACTAATATCATCATCAACATAGACTTTCATTGGATTTTTTATACCAGATGCTACCGTAGTACCCATCGTTGATGGATTATTTAATGAAAATCTTTGAACACGATTATTAGAAAAAAATCAGCAACATATAATTCATTTCTTTCTTTATGAATAAAAATTCCTTTTGCTGAATCAATCTGACAACTAGAATTACCGACATCACCAGTCCCAGCTACTGTTACACCTATTGTATTCCATTTTGCACAAGGACTAATCGTACTTGACACGACAGATAAACAAAAACACAAGATGAACACTTGAATAAAAATAAAAAATGAAGTTTTTCGTTAAACACATTTTGTCTAACTTACCAATATGCATCATTATCATTTTATGTAGACTATGAAAATCGCAAAGTAATGCATACACAACAAGGGTGTGGGTGTGGGTATGAAGGAGTTAAGACAAAATCCACACCCTTACCCACACCCTCACACCCACCCACACTCCACACCCACACCCCACACCCTGCACCCTCACCCACACCCACATCCACCCGCACCCGAAATTACCAAAATATTATAGTGTATTTCCAAATTTTCTGGGTCAGAAATGACCCATGTTGGGCGTACTAGGGTTAAATAAGAATAAACATGTGATGAATGAAAATTTACATGCAAATGTATATTTAAATGAAAATTCAGATGGTATTATATCAAATGAAAATAAACGCACCTATAATATAAATATGGTAAGATATTCTCGAAAGTTAGTAATAATAAAAAGTACGCTAAATAGCGATTGCCTTATGAATAAATAAATTTTTTTACAAAGTAGAAATATATAAATCTTTATCGTTGAAAAAATAAGATAAATAAAATCTTTATTTTCATAAAATACATAAAAAAATTCTTATATCTATAGACTAAGGCCCCAAACAGACTGAAAAAAAAATAAGACGAATTAAAAGGGAAATAACCAATATAATATGTGTTGTTACGTAGAAACACCAATCACGTTGCTTAATTCAGCTTTAAGTTAATTCATTTTTCTCTGTCCGTTTGGCCCCAAACAGACTGAAAAAAGCGAATTAACTTAAAGTTGAATTAAGCGATGTGATTGGTCTATTCCGACTTAAATCATCTTTTCTAGACGATTTATTCGTTAATTCAGTTTTAATTCGTCTTATTTTTTTCAGTCTGTTTGGGGCCTTTGTTTGACCCCTAAATATTTTTTATTCACTGTTCGACGGTCGCTATAGAAAAATTAATGTGGCGAGTAAATCGTCTGCGGCGTTGCTTTATAGGATATATATATATATATGACCCTGTATAATATTATGCTCAGTCACATTTTTTTGTACCATGGATGATTATATAAGTGATAGTGATGATTTATGGATCACAATAGAAGAACTTGACGAGGTGAATCATTCGTTATGTCTATTCAAAAAGATATAAAGAACATTTTTTTCTGTCTTAATAATGATTTTTTTTTTCTGTTTTAGAATAATGAAAATAATAATAGTCAATTGCAAAACACAAAAAAAAGAACAATGGATGTTTTCTTAGAATTAGAAAATAAAATTGATAAACATATGGTACAAGTAAATGATAATATAACAAAATTAGCTGAAGAAATAAAATCAATGAATAAATCATTATATGAACATATATGTGAATCAGTTCGTCAACAAAAGTCAATGAATGAATCATTAGCTACAATTGTTGATATTTTGGTGAAAAATTCTAAACAATCTTGATAGAACATGTCGTTTTTTCATTTACGGCAAAATTATGTAGGACTAACGATGATAATTTTTTTTTTTCGCTTCTTTTGTTCTTTTCTTTTTTTTTCTCAAAGTAATAAAATATGTATGATTTTGATTTAAGAAAGGTTTTGTCTATTAGTCAAGCATTCGCAGAGGTTCAGAATCTTCCTCATGCGCCCCACGCAAAGGGGGAAATTTTTTGAAAAACTCAAATTATTTCAGAGGAACTATCAGATTTCGATCAGCAAAACTTCATTGACTATGAAGAGTAAGATTTAATTTCGTGTCCAAAGTTTGTCGACCCGATAGTCTTTATAGAAGAATGTCAATTGAAAAAAGTTTTCGATAAATAAAAAAATTAATTGATTCTAAAAAGATTTGATTGAACTTTACAAAAAATCTAATCATCTTATGAAAATAGTTTCCTATTTACTAAAAATATTAAAATTTTATAGGATTTCATTTCATAAAGTTACTCAACCATTTTATTTTAAATAAATAAAATAATCTTGAAAAAATTGATTTATCTTTAATTTAATTTAATTTTCCATCTAATATGAAAAAGAAAGTTCAGTTAGAGAAATTTTTTTCATTTAAAATATTCATAATATATTATTAATATTCGTTCTAATCTGAGAAATTTAATTATTTTCATGCTTTGAATACAACCTAAAATTGTGATCATTAGCAAACGTTAATATATCGGAATTCTATTCTTTAACTAAGAAGAAAGACAAACTAAACTTCCATGATTAAACTTGAAAAATTTTTATCAACCTATTGGATTTGATTAACAAAAAGTAATTGTAGTTGTTATTGCAATTTGAATACGAACAATTAAACTCAATGAATTGTAAATAATAATATCAACAGATTTCCTCTCGTGAAATTCTCGCATTTATTTTTTAAACTAATCTTTGAAATAAGTTGTATAAATCTGTTTCTTTTAATTAAAATAAGAAAATGTTTTTAGTTTTTTTGTTAAATGCGTTTTTTATTATTGGATAATATACGTGAAAAGAATCAAAATATCCTAAAAGCTCAACTTTTTTATTAAGATATGTTGAAGAATTATTTTAACCGATGAAAACTAAACGAAAAATCTCCATAAAATAGAATATATTTTCTTGTTGTTCTTCATTATTTGTTGTTTGATTAGTTGTAGTTTGATTTGGTCCAAGATTTTTAAATTGATTAGCAGCCGCAATTTGTGCTCTTTGTGAAAGATCTTCAATTTTAGCTTCACGAAAAACGATAAAAGTATCTGATGATGGAATCGGGATTTTGTATAACAAATAACATATTCTTAGATTTTCGATTTGTAACACGAAAAATTTTCTCAACTGGACGTAAACCAAGTTTTGCCAACGCTTTTCGAGCTTGCTTTTCTGAACGTGTTTGTTTTTGTTTTGATTTAGAGTCAGTCAGAATGAATGTCAAAGAAAAAATCGCTTTTTTTTTGACCCCTCATCAATGAGAAACAAATGTACTTCTGAAGTACCGAGTAGCAAGAAGAAAAATCAGATCTTTGGATCCACTTTTTTCCCTTACGGAGAGGTACTGTAAAGTGTGGGAGTACACTTGTGCCCCTTCGTTCTATCTATGTAGCCCGTTGGAATCGAAGTTTTTGGATCCAGACTCAATTTTTCTGTATAATCTCAATTATTTCTCTTGCAATACGATGTGAAGTAGAAGGAAGAATCATTGATGATAGTTAGTATGTATAGATATTGTTTACTCTGTTACTTCTGTTGACTATGTTATTTTAAAATAAATTTGAATATCTCGTTCGAATAGTTAAGGCTACCATGAAAATAATGATTGTTATGATCGACATAATCAGTATGAGAGACCATATCAAATCTATATTATTTATGAGATATTATAAATACACATTTTATCAATCGAATATTTAACAATGATTGAAATACAGATAAAATATTCTTTTCTCTATACCAATCGCCACAAAAGTATAGCCGATCTTAAAAATTTTTTGTCTCTTGAACTCCATTGTTAACAATAGCGTTGTCTAATTTACGAGATAGAAAAACACAAAAAGAAAATATATGAAAAATAAAATAAAATATAATCAATATTTGATTGATGTAGTTTCGAAGGCTTCTTACATAAATAAGAGTATCAATTTAATAGTAAGACTAATAATCTTCTATTCAATGAACTAGCATGCATTTATTATAACTACACGGAGCGTATAAAACGATACAATCATTATATTCGAGTGAATTCTCACTATTAATTTGACTTTTTTCATATACGAAATTTTTCGTTTCAGAACTTTAATCTTTCATCATACAATGAATTATTCGATTTGTATATTTTTACTAACGAGGGAACATTCCCAAGTGTCGCATCGCTTTTGAGTCGAGAGTATGGGCATTATGTAGGCCCTAATGAGCTATGAATTCTCTGAAAAGAGTTCGTGCCGCTAGCCTCTTGCTGCTGAGATACAACATGTTTACTATATATTTTGGAAAAAGCCGTGGTCCCCCTCAGGAATATCAGGAAAAGTGAGTTTTGAGTTTCCGCCTGAAACTTTGCATATAAATAGGCCTCAGTGAGAATAGTTTATTGTGAAGATTTTAGATCTTTTGGTTGCTCCTAGTCTGAGATAAGAACATCGGATCTGTCGGTGCATAGAAGCAATTTTAAGATAACTGTATTTTAGGATAGAAACAATGAAAAGAGCTGAAACTATCACAATAAACTATTTTCATTGTGACTTATATCTATGCAAAGTTTGAAGTCGAAATTCGAAATTCAGTTTTTCAAGTGTCCCTGAGGGGGACCACAGCTCTTTTTTCTTAATCATACAGTAAAAATGCAGTATCTCAGCAGCAAGAGGCTAGCGGCACGAACTTTTTTTAGATAATTCATAGATCGTTAGGATCTACATAGTGCGCGTATGCTCGACATAAAAGAGATGTGACACTTGGGAATGTTCCGTCGTAAGATAATCATCGAAAAATCTAAACTCTTGATCGCTGCATTGCTTTATATCTCTATGCACAAATGAAGTAATCTATAAAAGGACATATGTTATTATTTTCTCATAGGAATCTGAACAATTGTTGATTGACAAAAAAAAAAAAACTAAACAAAATGACAAATATTTTTTATTAAGAATAAATTTCTTTTGATTTTAGTCAATTAAATTGAATATGCATAAACAAGACAATAAAGATTTTTGCTCTAATAAAAAAACAAAATTGATATGAATAATGTTTTTGTTTTATTTTATTTTGTATTTTAGAGACAAGTTGACCAACAAGTCTTTAATAATGATATAAATTCGACGAAAAAAAGAAAAAAAAGCAATAAATTGTACCTAAGGATAAACACACATAATTTGTTG